TGTGTGTGTGTGTGTGTGTGTAGTGTATTACCTATATTTGGATTAGAGGTTTGCATACTTAGAGTGATACTCAAAGAATGATGTGGTTTTTAATTGCTTTTATATAATAATAATGTTCTTTGAAAATGCTTAGTTTGTGTATATATGTTTTTAATTCTATAGCCTGTGGACTTCTTTTCATTAAATCCTTAGCTTTAATGAAATAAGCTAAAACCTGACACTTATTATGCATGACTGATTCATTTTGATCAATGATTTTTTCATATGCTTTTTTTCAAATATATTGTCATTGACATTCAAAACATGTTGGAACTACGGATATAATTAAATTGAGAGGTGGGAGAACTTAGAACCTTCAGTCTGTATTTCATATTGATGTCATTTGACCCTCAGGTACTACAGCGTCCTCTGGGTAAATGTAATGCAACTGATGCTTGCTAAGCAACCAGTACATTCTAGCACCTTAGTTGTGGCCAGAGAGGCAAAGGTTTGATAAAACTCCTTAAAGTCTTGTAAAGGGATGCCCAACAGAGAGAGCTACCAGTGAACAACATTACAGTATACCTGCATTACAGAATTACAAAACAGTTTTACATAAGGTCTAAAAGGCTCATTACCACCTTGGGGTAGGGCTGGGGGAATCAAGAAAGGCTTTGTGGTAAAATATTCCTACTGGACTTTAAAGAATGGTTAGATATTTTACAGCAAGAGGGTGGGAAAGCATTTCAGTCATAGGGAATTTCCTGGCCTATGACAGAGGACAGTGCTTGAAGAGAGAAGTCCAATTTAGCTGCATCATAGAGTATGTAGAATATAAGTGAAGCCTAGGTAGGTGGTATTTTGCTAAATTGTGTAGGGCCTTGAATCCTAGGGCGAGGAATTTGAACCTTACTCAGAAAGTAATAGGAAACCACTGAAGATTTTTGAGCAAAGGAGTGATATGATAAAGTGTATGCAGAAAAAGGATTATTGTAGTAGTATGAAGGATGGATTGGCATGAGGAGAAAGTGAAAGCACAAGTTTTAGGAGACTAATATATAATCTGCACAGTAATAAGGGTTTATAGTAGGGTGGTGACATAGAATGTGGAGTTAAGAAAGAAGACTTTGAAGGATTAAAAAGAAAGAACGATTAAAAGTCTTTGAATAATAGTTAGTGAGCAAATTGACTTTGAGGAGGTGTAATAAGAGAGCCTATGGCAATAGAGGTAAACAGCCATAGGTAGTAGTGTTTAATTTTTAGCCTTCACAATTTCTTGAGATTACCCCTCACTCTCTACCCACATCCCAGCAAATACAAAATAGTCTCCAACTCTTGTTCTGGCTTGCCTCTCTGTCCCCCTCCCTTCTTCCTTATCTCTTCCTATCTCCCTTTTCTTCATCTCTTCTTCTCTTCCTTTCTGTCCTATTCTCATTTTCTCTCTCTCTCTCTGTTTGAATCCTATTTTTACTATGTTTCTCTCAATTTTTTCCTTCTCTTTCTTTCATCCCTCTTTTCCTTTTATCTGGTGTTAATATGAAATTAAAGTTTGTTTTTTGTCATTGGATAAAGTGTGTTTCCTATTCGTAATTTAAAAACCAAGTGTATTTAATTTGTCACTTTTACAGACAAGTGATCATAACCTCAACTGATAAAATTAAGTTGCATTTTCCTTCCATTTCTCTCCATTTGACTCTTAATTGACTTTTGTTTCCCCTTTGAGGGCAATGGCTCTGGGAAAAACTTTCCACTCCTTATTTAAATAAAACAGATAATCTACTGGGACTGTAAACTGAGGCCAATTAGGATTCTGCCTTTAAAGTCTAATTCCTCTTGAATGGTTGATACATCAGTATCTTTGCTTAGGTTTTTAAAATAGTGAAGGACAAATATATAAGCACTTTGAAAAGTCTAAATATCTTTATAGAGGTATGTGATTATCACTGAATTACTCCTGTAACCTTCCTTAATCCAGAACAGATAAATCAGATTTGATTTTTTACAGAGTTGACTGACAGTTTGTTTTTTCTCCTTTATGATCTGAATTGTTAAAAAGCCCCAAGTCTGTAAGAAAAAGAATGACTGAAATTTTATCCCCTCTTCATTCCCAATTTGACCATTTTGTGGAGCTACTAATAAGTAACACAGTGGGTACAAAGTAGGCAACAGAAAAAACAAGAACAAAAAAAAAGATAACTCCATAATCAGTCTATGAAAATAAATGATTGACTCTGTGATTAATAATCTATTGTGAAATATATTCTGTATTGTTGTGGGTATTAGGGGAGCCAAGGGGAAAAAGATCTATTCTTATATCCATTACTGTGATCACAATTTAAAACTGGATTCATTTATTTTGTTAGTAATTTTATAAATCACCTTAAGTTCTAAAATTAAAATAAGGTATAAACTATTGATGATAATTCTAGAAAATAAAGACCTTGAGAGCAAGGGAACTTGTTTATTTGCCTTTGTATACCATCTGCACCGTAACGAAACATAGCAGTATATGATACTTTGCACATGATAGATAATAACTTACATGTATATAGTGCTATAAGGTTTAGAAAGAACATGTGGCTGACTTTCACATGTCAAGTGTATAGACTATTTTCTATGTGATTGCTGTCCAAGGTGATTTATGTCTGTGTTTATAACCATTAGTGTGGTCTGAGGCATGCACAGAAGTGCACACTCATGTGACCTGTCCCCTTTCTGAAAATGACTGTCCTATCAGTCTTGGTTCATAGAATCATAGAATATTAGAGTTAGAAGGGACTTTATCTAGTCCAACCCCTTCCTTTTACAGATGAGGAATCTGAGGCCCGGACATCCAATGCTAAACCTTAAGATCAGAAAATTCTTCTTGGTCTCTAATAAATTGTGGTACAGCCCATTTCCTGTTCAATGGAGATGGAAAACAGCTGGTTATTAATCTCAGTACAGGTATAATAATCCTTCATGTACTTAAGACCTGTTCTCAGAGGTATATTAGAGGCTAAGACTGTGGGGGAGGAGAAAAAATCTTTTCTACACATGTGCCTAGAGCCATCTTTTTCTCTTTTTCCTCAGTAACTTGATATGTTGGGGGCCAAATAGCCCTCTAGGGAAAATTTTGAGACTTTCTCATTATATCATCCAGATTTTACTGAGGAGTCAAAAGATATTTATTATTTAATGAATTATGAAAGTATTAAATGATTTTGTATAGATAAGCAAAAATTTGCCACAATTAATTAACTGAAGAAATACAAAAGTTAAGATGAGAGACAAAAATAAAATTGAGATTAGAAAATAAGATAAATGAAATAATGTCATACCATCACCTCAAATTTAACAAATCTAGAACCAATCTCATTATTTAAGTCTTATATTGTTATTAAGCTATTCTTGTCTTTATGTCTTTATGTCTCTCCAAGTAGATCATAAGCTCCTTTAGGGCTAGGTCCATGTCTTATATTTCTTTGTATTCCTCACAGTGCTTTGAACAAAAATAAATATTCATTTTGTTGATTGAAAGGTTAAAGGAAATGGGATTATCCATCCTGAAAAAGGGGAGACTGAGGGATGATTTAATAACGTCAACTTTCATGTATATGAAGGGGCTCTACCACGGAGGATGGTAACCAGTGATCTCAGGATCTACGACTAAAAAAGTGAGAACAAAGTTGCTTAAACTGCAGAATGAAGGATTTAGATAAGTTATATGGACGTTGTTACATTAGAATGAAATGCTATACAATATTTCCTCTGGAGATGGCTAGCTTTTTATCTTCCTGGATCAATTGTAGTGTAATCTCTATAGATGACCATGCAGGCTAGATAAACTTTTCATGACCCCTTCCAAACTATGATTGTATAGTTTCTTGAAGGCTTAATTATTATGGATTTCTGTGGAGGCCCTGGCAGCTGCTGGACCAGGCTAGCCATACAGGGAGGGAATGGGGCAAAGAGAGATCTGGGCATGTACAGTGTAACAGTCTGTGAGCCAAGAGATCATCATGCCATTGGACAGAGAGCCAGTGATTGATGATAGTCAAGAGCAAACCAAAGGTCTAGGACCTGAGATATTGGCAATGTGGGGAGGAATAATCAGATCTCAGGTGAAAGCAACCAAGAGTCAGGAGGCCAGCTGATCAGGTGGTTTGAACATATGGCATTAGTGATCAGAATAAACCTAAGTGAGCTTGATCTTAGGGAAGAGACAGTTTTCCCTCTTCCCTCTCTTATAATTTCTGCCTAGGTAGGAAGTTGTTTCAGAATCTAGGCCTGCAGATGTGGGGAAGGTGGCTGCAGCTGGTTAAGAAAAGGATGAAGGAGCAACAGCTGCAGGTAGGATCCTGATACTAGCTAATTAAGAATTTTTAAAGCCTGTGATTGACCACAGTGATTGGTAGAGGAATGTCACTTGTGATGACACTTAATATGTGTTAAAATCAGATTATACGCTCCTTGAGGACAAAAACTGTATTGCTCATCTTTTGCATTCCCTGAAGTGCCTGGCACAGTACTCTGCACATACTAGGCACTCAATGAACATTTACTGAATTGTGTTAATACTCAGCATGAAAGTTAATTTGATTATATCTACATAAATCATTTGGATTGGAGGGTTTGGCTTAACGTGATGCCTCCACAAATTAATCTTTCTACATCAACACCATTTCATGGACTTAGGAATCAAGGTAATGATTCCTCCTAACGACAGTTCATGATGGAATTATCTACCAAACCACTAAAAAATTAATTTTAAAGTGTTTTTTATCATTCAGAAACAATATATAGTAATTTTATAGGCACTCTGAAAGAAGTAGTCTTAGCAAGATTTTCGTTAATTTTTTTAGGCCTTTTGACCTATTTTTTTTGTCCTTTGGCAAATTGAATGATATCCGATTTTAAAAAGTATATATAATACATGATTTTATAACATACTGATAGCATATTTTATTAGCCAAAAAACATTTCCACTGTGCTAAACTATTTTTTTTTTAAATTTTATTTCATTACTTTTGACTCAAAAGTACCGGGATACAAATATGCAAGGCGTTGTGTACGAACTAAACAGCTATATAGAACAACGGTTGGATACGGGAGGAGACAACCAGCTACTGCTCTATGAATTGAGTAGACTCATCAAAATAGGTAAGAAAATGTATTTTAATCCTTTATATAGAATTTTGAGAAAAGGCAATATAGCACAGTGAATAGAGGGGCCTTGGAGTCAGCAAGACCTCTGATGTATGTTAGTTTTATGTTCCTGGGGAAGTCATTTAACTTTTCAGTACCCCCAATCAAAATAATATACCCAACATCCGAAAAGTTAAACTGAGGTAAAATTGAAATATCTAGAATAGGGCAACTCAAATAGTTAAAGGCCTTGACATCATGTAATATGAGAATCAAAGGAACTAGGGTTCTTTGACCTGGAGAAGAGAAGACCTGGAGGAATCCATAGTTCAGAGCATGGGCGGCTATGAATGAGTGACATAGCCTTTCAGGATTCTTTGCCTTATCTATAAAATGGGTGCTAGGTGACCTGGAAGATGGGTGACCTATGATTGACGCGACTTGATATCTGACGGGTTGTTGTGTGGACGAGTGATTACGCTTGTTATCATAGGCCTTTTGGTGAGGAATTAGATGTAGATTTTTACAAAAGTGGAATGGGATACTTGGGAAGGTGGTAAATCCACCCTCACGAGAGGTCATTAAGCAAAGGTTGGAATACTACTATTGAGCATTTTGTAGAGAGAATTTTGGGTTCAGCTATGGCAGGGGTAGGGAACCTGTGGCCTCAAGGCCACATGTGTCCCTCTAGGTCCTCACATGTGGGCCTTTGATTGAATCCAAACTTCACAGAACAAACTGAGGCTACAGGTTACCCACCCCTGAGCTATGGGTTTGATGAAATGGTCTCTGAGTTTCATTCCAATTCAGAGATCCCTGAGTCTGTGAGACATAAAGAACATTTGACACCTTTAATGTATATTTTCCTAATAAATATATATCCTAGAAATGGAAATAGCACATTTTCTTCAAGTAATCCTCCACAAAACTACTCAGATGCAGTATTGTGACATGGAGTTGACCCTGGGTTTATTGTACACTATGACAGTAGAAAACAATCTCCAGCAGGTTCTATGATGATAGGAAGGATTTGAGTATAGCCTCAGCAATAGATTATATCTGTTTTTTAAGACATTTAGCTAAATATATAGAGGCATACCACTAATAGGCTGGATAATAGATGATGAATTCTTTGGCAGTAGTAATCTACAAAGTACTAAAAGGCCCTTTGGTTCTATAAAACCCCGTTCACCTTCTGCATGGATAGAGGCAGTGTTGGAAAAACTACACTAGGTACTATACTAACAAACACACAACTTCAGACTCTCTGTAAAAATGTACTGCATATCAGTATTGACTGAGCTTTAGATGAAAACCAAAGACAAAAGAAGTTAGAGCCAAATGGAAGAATGGCTCACAAATCTTGAAGAAACAGGGAGTACTAGAGCTGGTCTTATGAGTAAGAGGGCAGCCAGAAACATCATTTCATGGGATATTTTGTCATCTTATATTGTAATGCTCATTACAAGTATTTGCAAGAAGACCATCATGAAAGTAATTGTAGTTTCATGTGCTAATATCTGTTGTAGAGGAGGGAGATAAATTCTGCTAAGTACTTGATAAGATTCTTCGTGTTAGATCAGTAAATACTATAGTCTTTTAAGTCTTCAAGGCAACTGCTACTATAGGGGAGAAAATCTACAAAACATTTTAGACAGTACAGTTCAGAAGGAAGAAAGCAAAGAGACCGACAGCATTCATGCTCAACAGAAACCTCACTCCTACATTTTGTGACTCTTTTCTTCAAGGGGAAAATTGGAAGGGGCTGAACAAACTTGGCAAATTCCAAAGAACATCACGGATAATTAAATCAGTTGCATGTTAAAAGACAAAAAATTGATTGTGGATGTGGAACACATTTGTGATTAGAGTTCCTCTATTTAAACCATGGACTTGTTCATTCTAAAATCAAATAAATACCACATAAAAATCAAATAAATAAAAAATCAAATAAATACCAAAAAAATCAAATAAAAACCAAATTTATAGATACAAATGAGAGAAAGATGTCTCATGTCATCAGAATACTCCAGCTTGATATATTTAAACAAGACTTTGATACTGAAAAGTTTTATCAATTTATACTATCACCATTTTTTCCTTAAATATATGTCTAGTTATTTATACTTTTTTATTTTTCTCATATGTATTTCCAAGGATAGTCCCTTATCTCTCCCCCTCTGAGCAAACTTGTGTTTTAGAGGAAATCATTTTTAAAAAGGAGGAAAATACCAGTGCAGCAAAACTAATCAAAATATTGAAAAATCTGGATCTCACATATAGTTTTCCACACCTTTATTCCCTCACCTTTGCAAAGATATGAGGGGAAGTGCTTTCTCATCTCTCTCTCTCTCTCTTTTTTTTTTTTTACCAAGCTTGATTGTTGTAATTTTACAGTATTCAGTTTTAATCATTTTGTTGATTATTGTTCTTTCCATATCCACTGTTGTATGTTATTTCCTGGTTCTGTTGATTTTTCTTTGTATCAGTTCCTATGAGTCTTCCCATTCTTTTCTAAATTCTTCATTTTCCTTAATTTATGTTTTCTTAAGGCAGCTTACCTGATGTAAATAATTTACCACAATGAGGAGACTAGAAGTGATTAGCCAAGGACAACCCTGGTTTAGAATAGAAACCCATTTCAAAGATCTTCCACAGTAGAATGGTAAAGAATTAGGACTGATATTGCCTCACAAAAGAGTAAGAAGTAACAGAGAGGAAAAATAAATTTGGCTCTGATATAATACAAAGAATATTGGTTTTAGAGCTGGAAAATGGATTAAAATCCTGCCTCTTGTCACCGTGTGACTTTGAGCAAGTTACTTGACCATGCTGACTTCTGTTTCCTCCTCTGTAAAACTAAGGAGTTGTATTAAATGGCCTCCTTTGGTCCCTCCTAGGTCTAGGTCTCTGTGATCTCAAATTCCATAGAAAATTAGTGAAAGACTCACATAAATCAGTTCATCACAAAGGCATTTAATGGATGCAGTACTTAACACAGTGCCTGGGACATAATAAGCACTTAATAAATGTTTATTGATTGCTTGGATGAAACTCGGAGGACCATGAACAGGTAGAAAATAAGAAAGATCTAGAAATATTTCTATAGCAAATTATTTTCTTTAGCAATGACAGCAGAAACATTACATCTAGACTCTTAACTGTTGCTCACATGTGACATTATTTAATCACATCAGGCCCTGGAACATTTTAGAGCCTCTTAAATGAGGGCGATATTCATTCGAAAGAATTTGCCTTAACTATAGGAAAACCAAGTAGATAAAGCATGTTGTCCCAGACAATCATATACATTTGGATGAATAACTCTTAGAGTTGGTCTGAACGCTGTGGATGAACAGTGAAGTGGATTCAGGCTTAAACGGAAAGAGAGTAGAAAGAGTTGTCTTTAGGAAATTATGGAATCCTTATAGTGACCCTAGACCATCTTTTTAAAATAAGTAATTTTTTGTGGCTGCTGGTAATGGCTATGTGGCTACAGATAATGGAATATCATAATCTATGAAGATGCAGATTTGCAGGTCATCCAGTCTAGAATTTATGCATGCCTGTGATATCACTCATAAGGCAAAGGGGAGATTTATGATAGGTGAAGGCAGGATGAAACATATTAACTCATAAAAATAGTGCAGGAGAAGTGATGTAAAGGACATTAGAGTACCACATGCTTGGAGAAACAGAAAAACCCGTCATAGAAGAAGAGCAAGTGATAACTGTTGGGCAGCATATGCAGTCTACTGGTATCTACACAGTGATGTCAAGATTTTTGATCTTGAACCTTTAGCAGTTAAAAAAGTTTGAGAATATGCCTACAATATATTCATATTTACTTAATTATATATATTATATATATGTACGTCTTCACCAGAAGGGCAGTGGTTGGGAGCTTGCACAATATAAAGAAGAGTATTCAGGATTGAGGGTGGGGATAAGGGCAAGTATGGCTGTGAGTTGTGCATAAGCTCAGGGACTCACCATCTCAAGGAGGGTGGGATGATGTGAATCTTCCCACAATCCACGGTTGTTCATAGACCTGTTGGAGTCATGCCATGGCCTCCCTGAGGTAAGAAAAAAGCTATCTCGGGTGGGCTTAGTTCCCATTGTGGAGACCATAGCTCTGTGTCATTGGAAGGAGTACACCCAACAGTGAGATCACAGATCCATCACAGTATTGAAATATTATGACAGTGGGTAAAGTAAATAATCAGAAATTAAATGAAATACTTTTCAAACTTAAAAATCTTTAAATTTCAGTTAATATTATGAATAATGTGTGCTTAAGTAGGTTTCCTAATTAACATAAAAGTACTTTTTATCTTTTTTTAAAAATTTTTATCTTTTTTTTGTTGCTTCCATTTCCAGATATGTTTCTTAAAATTTCTGAATATGTGTACCTCAGCCAAAAAGCCATTACTTGATTTATTGTAATAAAATCAATTGTTTTATTGTTCACACACAATAAGAAAAAAGAGGGAAACATCAAACCAGTTTGACTGGAAATTTTCCATACTCCAATCCCCCATTTCTTCAAAGAAGGAAGGGTGGTGTATTTTATCTTTTTTTTTCCTTTTGGGTCCACACTTGGTCATTATTATTACAAAAGTTTGTGTTGATAACAATTTATTTTAAAAAAAAGATGTGAAGTTAGAAATGATAGCACTTGGCAACTGATTGGATACAAAAGGTGAGAGGGAATGAAGGGTTGAGAATGACACTTAGGTTGAAAGCCCATATGACTGGAAAGATAGTGGTACTGCCTACAGTCTCAGGAGTATCATATCATATGATATTTTTCATATCATTAAACCCTTTAGTGCATCCGAGGCTGATCAATGTGGGTGTGCCCTTCATTGGTTCCAGATCTTCCAATTCCTGTCTATGTTTTTTTCCCTGTAAATCCTTTAAGATCCACTCAGTGAATCTTTCTTTGATTCTGTTGACATTTTAAAAGCACTAGTGGAGTATTATTGCCGTCCATTGTCTCATGATCTTACCCC